AAAAACAGACAGACTCAAGAAAGAGCAAGACTGCCTAAGATTCAGCGCAGTGAAGCCAAGACACGAATGGCCATGTTTAAGAAGAGTTTGAGAATTAACTCAACAGCAACACCAGATCAGGACCGTGACAAAATTAAACAAGTAAATAAGCAAATTACTCTCTTCTCTTTTAGGTTTAAAAATTTTGTATTGCCCTTATTGGTACCACATAATTGTGTTGTAAACATTTAGAGCCACCTTGGGCTTTCTGATGTTCACCACGGCTGTGTGGGCCGGGGCTAGACATATGGCATATGCCAACTCAGTCTTCCTCAGGTGCTGGCCGCAGAGAGCTGTTTTCTCCCATGCCTCACGTCAGATCCAGGGCTAGACTGGCCCTAGGAACAAGATGGCCAGGTTTTTAGTCAAACATACGGCCTTATACAGTCACAGGTCCCACACACAAACTAACGGAGGTCACAAAGCAGATAGGAGGAACAAGGTTTTAATCAGAAGTGTCTCCCCACCTCCCTACTCCCCACCAAAGCCATGATGCAGACTCCAGCATTGAGTCCCAGTGTATTATTACTTGCAGCTTTAGTTTATTATACTTTAAGCTTCGTTAAATTCCTTAATTACACCTTTGAAAGATGCAGAAATTACATTACTTGATATTTATCTTTTGTTTTTCTTATTTATAGTTTGCTTCTCAAGAAGAAAAGAGGCAGAAAAACGAGAGAATGGCTCAGCATCAAAAACATGAAAATCAAATGCGGGATCTTCAGCTGCAGTGTGAAGCCAACGTCCGCGAACTGCATCAACTACAGGTTAGTCCAGACGCGTGAGGACAAAGCTGGTGGCACGTGTGCAGCGCAGGTGGCTGGTTGTGAGGAAGTAACGGCTACTCAGAGGGAGCGGCACCACGGTGCTTGTGAAGATGGGGTTTAAAGATTCTCTTTCCTGTGTAGACCCCAGTGAAGATCAGCTTAGTGTCACAGGCACTTGGTCAGATTTTATATAACCGTGATTAATATGCACATGGAGCTAATTTATAATCTAAGGAGTTGAATCCTTCAAAAGTACTATTGAGAATTCTTAATATATTTTGCAAAGAAGATGAACAAAGGTTTTAAAATGATGTGGGCAGTTTTATTGTATTTGGAATTTAAAATTTCTTTTTAATTTAGGGAGAAACAGTTCATTTTCTCCAAACTTTTTGAAAAAAGCGATAAATATATGGTAATTTTTCTCCTAAAGAATTTAAACACTACTTTGGAGAGGACTGTTTTTGAACCGTACCTGAAGCCTGCAGCCTGTATGTCCTAAAACGCTGATAGCTTCCAAGGAGCGTGTACATTGTGGGTATTCTACATGTTTGCTTACCTTACTAGAGCAGAGTAGTTTCTGGTCCCATGTTCTGGTGGTACCTTTGGGTAAAGTGCTTGCAGGGCGCCCTCTGAAGTGTCTGTCTCCTGAGTGAACCTTCCTAGAAAGGGAAATGAGGATCAAACTCGTTCTTTCTATTCAAGTTCTCTCCACATGGTGAATAACAGCTCTAGCCTCTAAACTTGCCAAAATGAAGCTGTGACTCATTTCATGATTCTTGGCCCTTGATTGTTAGCAGAGAATTTCAACCTCAGTAATAGCTTGATGTTTGATGAATACTTTATTGTTTTGTAAGATAATTGTATTGTGAATAGTAGCTAACTTGATCGGAAATTTTTTAATCCAAACTTTATTTTCAGAACGAAAAATGCCACCTATTGGTTGAGCATGAGACTCAGAAACTAAAGGAGTTAGATGAGGAACACAGCCAGGAATTAAAGGAATGGAGAGAGAAACTGAGACCGAGGAAAAAGGTAATTTTATGATGATAGGTTTTCTTTTTTACGGGGGGATGTTTATTTATTTATTTAATGGTGGTACTACGGACTGAACCCTGAACCTCATGCATGCCAAGCATGCAGGAAAAAGGTAATTTTAAAAGCTTGAATTAAAATATGCTTGCATTCATCCATCCCTCCATCCTCCCAGCTGTTGGCTCTTTACTTAATGTGTGTCAGGTAGTGTCAGGGACAGGAGATGCAGAGATGAAGAGTCAGATTTTTCCCCAAAGGTTCAGAACCTAGTGACAAGCAATTGCAGATCAGTAGGAGCATTTCTATGAAGGAAGGAAGTACAGGATACAGAGCAGAGTAGCACAGTGTACCAGCAAAGGAGGAGGAGTGCTTACATCTGCCCGATGAAGTCAGGAAGCGTAGAGAGGAGATGCCTTGTAAACCATGAGGCTTGAAGGATGAGTAAGGCAGGCAGACAGATTGGAGTGGGATGGAGCAATTTAAGCACAGAAAAGAGAATGAGTGAAAAGAATGTGTACTGGAACCATAAGTAGCTACCTATCATTGTAGCATTAAGGGGAGTGGGTGCCTGTGTGTTGGCATTCCAGGGGGAGAGAAAGAAGGGATGACAGCTTAGTCTGGATGGGTCAACTTGAGCTAGATTACAAGGCCCTTATGTGCAGGGTCAATTGATGATCTAGTAAAACAGGAATGGCCTCCCTCCCCCGAGCCAGCCAACCACCATCTTCGTTCTTTGTGCTTGACTCCCTGCTAGCCTGGTCCAGTTGATCAACCATTTCCGTCTTTGCTGTTACTGAATGAGTCTCTCTCTGCTAACTCTCAAACTTAAACCTTTATTTTCTCCTGTGCTTCCTACCTATCCTCCCATTTATCTAGTCAATTGATGAAGAAAATATATATTTAGCACCTACCATGTGCGAAAGCTTTCTGGAAGAAATGAACTGACCAAGTCAGCTTTTTAACTTGCATTTTATTTATTGTTAAGTTTTTGGACAGGTACCACATTCCTGTGTTTCTGAATTCAAAAAGTGGGGTGAAAGAGGGGTGAAAGTGAGAAGTCCCTCTTCCTCCAGGTCTTTCACTCTCTGCAGCCCAGCTTTTGCCTCAGGCTCCTCCCAGGTTGAACTCGTTGGCAGTGGTCACAATGCTATAGTTTTATCTACCTGTTCTTGTTAAAAATCTTTTTTCTTTTTTCTTTTTTTTAGTTCAGATGCTTCATAGCTTTATTTCATAGGTTTATTTCAAATTTTTTATTTCTTAACATTCTCTTCTCGCCTGACTTTTTGTGACATACTCTCTCCTTTCTCTCTGCTCTTTATCACCTTTTCTTTGTCTTCTAGTCACCTGAAATGTAGGCATTTCCCAGTTTTGCACTCTGAGCTCTGCTCTTTATCTTGATGACCTTGTAGCTAATCATGGCTTCAACTGCTGCATGTTTAAGGATAATTCCAAATCTTACATAGAACACAAGTTCTAAAGTCATACAGGTCTGGGTTCAAATCTCTTTGCTGACACTGACTAACTTGGTTACTTAACACTTCTGAGCCCAGTTTTCTTTACTTCTAAAATGAGGATGTTACTGGGGTTGTTAAGACAGTTCACAGAAGTGATGTGTGCAGGCCTTGTCCCAGTGCTTGAGATGTGGTCAAGGCCCAGCGAGTGGTTGTTACTGCTGTTATGTTTACTGTTTCTAGTATCAGTTCACGCTCTAAGCTCTCATTTTCCATCTGGATGTTCCATTCCTCCTCATTTCATTCATTCTGTTCCATTATCATCTCATCAAAGGCTTCTTTTCTTGATCACCGTGTATAAAATAGCCTCAGTGCCCACCACCAGACACACTTCTTATTGTTTGTCTTCTTCCACCAGAATGTAAGCTCCTTGAAAGCAGGGACATTATCTCTCTGTTCATTGATAAATACCCAGCTTCTGGAGCAGTTCCTGCACACTGTAAATGATCAGTACATACCTGTCATGTGTTGTTGAATGTTGACTAAAGATCGTAAACTCAGTGGTGATACAATTCAACTCAACATCTTTTTTCCTTTATTTCCATCTCACCTTTCCCCTCTCTAAGTCTCACCCACCATCAGATGTTCTTCCCAACATTCCTGTTCTCTTAAGTGGCATGTAGGCTAGAAACCTGAGTTATTTTTCATTTCTATCACACCCCACATTCAATCAGATGACAGATAATTTTGACTCTCTTTTCATAAGTTTTTCCCATTACTGTCTTCCTACTATTTGCTTAAAATTGTTTGGTAATGTCCTCTAGTTCTGGTCTCTAGTTCCCATCCCTTTCCTCCTACTTGGCTGCCGTCATCAGAATATCTCTGATACTGTTTTAGTGGTGTTGATAAATCTTCAGTTCCATCAGAATAGAATATAAATGCCTTGCTTTGACTCTGAAGCCTTCATAGAGCCACACTTGGGCCACATGAGCCTTTCTAGCTTTGTTCCCACTAGCCTGTTTGTTCCCAGTTCATGTTCCAGTACTGGGTGTAATCACCATTCTTCACACCAGCTCCACAGTTTCCTGCCTCCGCGCAATGTTTCAGCTCGTCCTGTCTGTCAGATTCCTATCTTTCCTGTGAAACTAAGCTCGTGCTCTTCCTCTTCTGAGAAACCTTCCTGTATCCTTCCATCTTTTCCTATACTTTGTGTCTTTACAGCAGCGCTTCTCCCTGAGTCTCTGTCCACAGAGTCATTGGTACCTCAGATACTTATCAAGCACTTACTGTATTTGCTCTGAATTGTGGTAGTGTAAAGCTGAATCTGGTTTAGGTCTTAACCTTCAAACAGTTTATAGTTCAATGTGGAAGAAAAGACATGCACATCAATAATCAAAATAAAAAACAGAAAATGGTGAGTTCCACGTGGGAGAGTCAGATGATAGTTAACAATAGGTGCTGTCTGTTGAGTGCCAGTATGTATTAAGTACATTATTATCACATTTAATCGTCACATAGCAACCCAGAGAAGTAGATGGTATTATGGCTATTTCATAGCAGAACATTGAAATGATTATGTAATATAGAGAAGTTAAGTCATTGACCCAAGTTACCCATTCATGTGGCTGAGCCGAGACTTGAACCTCGAGCTACGCAGCCTATGGTCCTAGCCACTGAGCAGTCTCTGCTTCCTTAGGATAACATACAGGGAAAGTCTTTGGGACAAATAATTTTATCTTGACTCTCAGAGTAAATTCTATTTGTAATACCAGTGCGTAATTTTTTTTTCCCTTCCTTTTTAAGACACTGGAAGAAGAGTTTGCTAGGAAACTGCAGGAACAGGAAGTGTTCTTTAAGATGACCGGGGAGTCTGAATGCCTTAACCCTTCAACACAGAGCCGGATTTCCAAATTCTATCCTATTCCTAGCTTGCATTCCACTGGATCTTAACATGGGAAGCAATCTGTGGTTCAGTTTTGGCTTTTTAAATATGTCGCTCTGTTCTCTTCATCTTCTGCCACAGTCTGTGTCAGACAGCTCATGAAGACAATCACCTGCCTCACCTTCTAGGTGTTTTGTTGTTGTTGTTGTTTGTTTGTTTAGCAAAGATGAAGGGAAAGGAGCTAAGACAGATGCTGGGCCATGTTGGCAAAATAGCATCTTGCAGTAATTCCCTAAGGTGATTTTGTATATAGTCTTAAAAATTGTGTTATTTACACACTGTTACCTGAAAAACTGGTAGAGATATAATGTTTATAAAGTTATTTAAAAAAAACTGTTACGTCATTTAAGTATTAGTAAATATCTTTTTACCTGACTTCTCAATGATGGATAAAGTTTATAGTTCAAACTCTGCTATAGAGAGTTGGAGTAATTTTCTTTTGGTGAATCAGGTCTCATGAAGAAGTTACAAGTTGCTCAAAATATAATATTGATTCAGTAAATAAATCTATTATCTTTAAATATTAGCAACATACTCTTTTAAAAGAGAAAAACTATTTCAATAATTTGTCTAAACTAAGTACCTGTTTAGGCATGAGCAAACAATTAAGGGTGCTAGTTTTATTAAAATAGTGCCTAAAACACTAAATTTCAGTTAAGTCTAAAATAGCATTTTCTTTTTGGATTCAACAGGGACAAAACACCCTTAGCATTAAGCATTATTGTTTTTTAAATCTTGCTCCTGTTACCACTTGATAGAAATGTTCATCCTAAACTGTATGTTGCACGAAGTTGGAAAGGAGGAAAAAATAAAAGGTAGCTTGTAGATGTCCAGACTGGAAGTGTAGAGCTTACCAAATTCAAAGAGATGCAGATTTAGGTTATCTCAACTTACTTCCTAAAAAAATACATGAGCTGGTTAAGCGACTTCTCCCATCTTAGCAAACCCTGTTTAAAACTCTGTCAGGGGCCGGCAGGCTCTGAGTTATACTTATGAATCTATTTTTCTGAAGTTAATCTTAAGAGAGGCATTTGTTCAGAATAGTTTTCAAGAAAGAATTTAAATGAAATATTTAGGCACATACCAGAAATGACTTCTTGTTGCTTTGAAATAAAGTCGTTTATATTTTGGTTTTATTTTGTTCTATGTTTAAATTATTGACTTCGATTTGAAGCGGGAAAAGCCTGAAACCTTTGCCATGTGGTTGCTGATACATGTAATTGTTAATGAAATGTTCACTCCCAGTCCCTCTTGAGGTTTAGGATTTCCCACAGGTGTCAGGTCAAACAGGATGACAGACCACCCTTTGGGGTGTGAGACAGTGCGTTGGTAGATGAAACTTGCTGCCTGCCATTTGTGGCCTGTTCTCTTATGAGTACTGGGTACCAGTTCTAGAGGTTTCAGTTTTTAGTTATTTGAGGCTGGTGAAAAACTCAAATGAAACTTTGTGGGAACACTGATTCATGTTAAGAAAATGTAAATATCTGTAGCTCTTTCTTGCAGTTAATTTGAAAACTTTGAGTGCTGAACCTTATTTTGTCAGTGGTTTTGATGATTAAAAATGCATGTGATTTTAATTTTGTAATTGTTTTGACAAGCATAATTTACTTGGACAACTTTGTAGGTAGCCTTAACTTCTGGCCAAGTTTGTTTTTTATATAAATATATTATACATATATATATCACGTATGGTTGTAAATTCATACACTTATCACATGAATGTGTTACTGTATACAAAACTCTTTTAATGCTTTATTCTCAAATGCTGGGTTGAAAAATGTTTTGAAAGCCTTTTAAAATATATATCTTTATAAAGTAATGTTCAGGATGATGATGGAAATTGTTTATATTGCTATGATAGATATGACAGTATAATGTTATCCAGTGTATTTAATGATTTATTTCATGAGGGAGAGAGGAGGAAGGTTCTCATACCACTTTCTCCTTTGAAATTTTCAGTTTATTGGCTTTTTAAAAATTAATACTTCAGGCAGTGGACATTTTTCCAGTATCATTTAAATGATATCCTGTGTGCTGAATAGTTTATGGCACATAATTAATTTGGTCTGAATATTTGGTTCTTTTTATTTCTTTCAACTTGACATTCAGAGTATTGAGTAAAGGAAAGAGGCTCAGAGTAGAACGGTTGACACTCCGGTAAGTTTATTAACAGCTCTTGCATCTCCCTGAAAACTGCCCTTTGGATTCAAGTGTTCACGCTCGAGTTCTCTTTCAAGTATGACCTGACCATGTTCATGTGGGCACTGGACTACAAAATGATACATGTATAGAGGTAAAAACCTTCATTTGAATACTTCCAGTTACATAAATCTTTTCAAAAAGTGTTTTGTCATAGACCATGCCGTTTGTACCCATCCCTGCCCACTTCTTGTTAGACCCTGTCTTCCCGTAGATAATAGTGGTCATTCTCTCTTGCATGAAGTGCAGGTGGGGAGCTGGGGAGGGGCACAGACTTCCTTGAAATCGAAGAGTAGTCAGATCCATTCCTGACTGGGTTGTTTTGTTGCTGTGGAAGGATGTGCTATGAAAGGCATAAAAGAAGTTCTCCCTCTGTGCACCCTAGTTCCCCAGCCTCCCCTCGTCTCCCTGTGCGCCGCGGACACGCCCGCCGCCGCACTTCTGCAGGGCAAGCTCACGGAGCTCGTTGCACCAGGTTGCCTTTCCTAGTCCTGTCAATCCATGGTTGGGTGTGAATTGCTGAATTAGCTGCTATACTATATGGAGTCACAGTTAAGCTTTTTCTTACCCTTTTTATGGGGACGCTATAGGGTGGGTAAGGAGGAAATTTGGAGTGCTTGTACCTTGCTGAAAATATTAGAACTTTCCTGTGACAGGATACAGCAAATTGTAATTAAATATAAACCAGAACCAGAGCTACCTCTAAGTAGTGTTTCCTCAAGCACAAAGCTCTCAGGCATATAAGACCCACGTTAACGGAGGGTCTCTGATTTCTTGAGCATCAGCGAGTTTCAGAAGTGACTGTCTTTTGTATTCTTCTAGTTCCCTTATAACGACATACTTTTCCCCATTCCACACTGTGCTTAAATGACAAAGACTGCTGAGAAGCTAAATTCTATCAAATGATTAGCTAGAGATAACTGCTGATTAAAGGACAATGTAGAACTGAGGTGGAGGAGGAGAGCGCTTTAGTTCCAGTTCTAAGAGGCTTCTGATTGAATACATCAGTTCTTTTCTGGGAAATGATCTTTTACAGGAAATGGGATATTTTAAATGCTTTTCTTAAGTTGAAGGCACAACAGTTCATGCCTATTGTTGCTATCCTGTGGCTGACATGGTTTTGATGTAGCTTTACATTTTCTGCTATGAAGCTTGGGGTAGAATGTTACACCAGTTTTAAATGTTGGCTGTAGCTTTTTGTGATCCTTCTCTCATTTGCAGTGTAATAGCTTCACAAACAAAGTTTTCAGAAAGAATTTTGTTTCAGAAAATGCCTCTTGTTTCTTTGGGAGCAATGTGTCTTTTCAATCATGGGATTGACAAATGAAAAATAAAGTTATTTCTTAATCTACTTTGGGAAGCAGTCTTTCATTGAGAATTTCTGAAACTAGATTGTCCTGCCTGAGAAGGTTTTATAGCATTTTTTAAATCCTAATTGTATTTTAAAACGTGCAGTCCTCCAGATCTTCTGAACCTTCAGACTTTTTAGTGTTCCATGCTATCTGTGGTCACCACACACAACGGTGTCCTTTTTACCAGTAACTTGGAGTGTCTTTTCATTGAGTAAACCCCTCCTTTGGGTGGTGCTTAAATATTTCCATCAAAATACTTATATATCATTTTTTATTTTTTTTCCGTTGGGATGGATTATTTTTCTCACCAAACATTTCACAAACTATATGACCTCACTTCTGCTAAAAATAACCTTTTTCCATCATTCATGTGTTCATGCAAGATTCAGTAGACACTAGGCTACATCATTTGGCAAGTTGTCAGCTTGGCTGGAGGGAGGCACGGCATGTCATTTTCTAATCCAGGAGCGTTGCACACTACAGCACTCATGCTTGACTTTTTTTTTTAATGAAACAAAAGAGACTCAGATCCACTGCCGTCCAGCTGAGGACATAGCTCATATCTGGGTTCTGTCTGGAGAAGCTAGCCAGTTTGGGCTTTTACCCTATTTCCCTTGGGCATAGGACTCTATGAAGACTTTTGGATAGCTTGGATAGGTAGATCTTGTAACTAGGGAAAAACTCGAAAGTCTGGTTAGTCAAAATAAGTATCATTAAAGAAAAGTATTACATCCTTGAGCTTCTAAAGCTACTGTTACAGAAACAAATTGATTTAGCCTTTAGGTAAAACTAAAATACGAAAAAGGCATGATGCAGTCATTCATGATGCATAATAAGTTTTCATTAGACAGTAAAACATTGTTTGAAATTCTGCAGAACTTATGAACTCATGTTTAGAATTTCCATCCTGATCCACAGCCATAGCTCTCAGGATGTGATAAAGGAGGCGGACAGACCAGCAGTGTGTTCGGTGTGTGACTGGTGGCTGCTGCCGCAGTTGTGTGACACAGTGGAACGAAACGGTGATTTTTTCTAGGATAATATGTGAGAGATTCAGGAGAGGCACATGGAAAATAATCCAGTCTTTCAGAAGAGTAGAGGTGTGGAAATCAATTGAATTTAACCCGGTTTTTAATTATCCAGCAATTGATATTGAGTCACAGCTTGTAACAAATTCACAAGTTGGCCTCTTCTGAATTTGAGGGGTTTTACTATGTGTTTCTATGGGGCATTTTCCTTAATAGGATTTTTGCTATTCCATACCTTATTAACTTGCCCTGCAATCATAGTTCCTTTGCTCCAGGAGAAATCACTACATTAATTGTACATAATCTTGTTGCTCTTCTGTTGCATATGTGTTTATTTCCAGTAGTTTATACTTTGGGAAAGCCTTCAGATGCTTTGTAATATTCCCAGGTTGAATTAGTAGCTGCAGATAAAGCTCTGCCTTTATTTATTTGTTTTTGTATATATATACTTTTTATTGAAGTATAGTCAGTTCACAGTGTGTCAGTTTCTAGTGTACAACACAGTGCCTCAGTCATACTTGAACATACATATATTTGTTTTCACATTCTTTTTTACCATAAGATACTGATATAGTTCCCTGTGCTATACAGTATTAACTTGTTTATCTGTTTTATATATATTAGTATCCGCCAATCTCGAATTCCCAACGTATCCCTTCCCAACCCCTTCCCCCACTGGTAACCATAAGTTTGTTTTCTATGCCTGTGAGTCTGTTTCTGTTTTGTAAATAAGTTCATTTGTCTTTTTTTTTTTTTTTAGATTCCACATATAAGTGATATTATATGGTATTTTTTTTTCTGGCTTACTTCACTTAGAATGACAATATCTAGGTCTATCTATGTTGCTGCAAATGGCATGATTTCATTTTTTATGGCTGAGTAATATTCTGTTGTATAAACATACCACACCTTCTTTATCCAGTCATTTGTTGAAGGACATTTAGGTTGTTTCCATGTCTTGGCTATTGTAAATAATGCTGCTGTGAATATTGGAGTGCATGTGTCTTTTTGAATTAAGGTTCCCGCTGGATGTATGCACAGGAGTGGGAATTGCTGGATCATATGGTGAGTCTATTTTTCAGTCTTTTGAGGAATCTCTGTACTGTTTTCCATAATGGCTGCACCAAACTACATTCCCACCAACAGTGTAGGAGGGTTCCCTTTTCTCCACAGCCTCTCCAGCATTTATTGTTTGTGGACTTTTGAATGATGGCCATTCTGACTGGAGTGAGGTAGTACCTTATTGTAGCTTTAATTTACATTTCTCTGATAATTAGCAATATTGGGCATTTTTTCATGTTCCTATTGGCCATTTGTATGTCTTCATTGAAGAATTGCTTGTCTAGCTCTTTGCCCACTTTTGGATTGGATTGTTTCTTTTTTTCCTATTAAGTTGCATGAGCTGTTTATATATTCTGGAAATTAAGCCCTTGTCAGTCTCATCTTTTGCAAATATTTGCTCCTATTCTGTAGGTTGTCTTTTTGTTTTGCTTATGGTTTCCTTTGCTGTGCAAAAGCTTATAAGCTTAGTTAGATCCCGTTTATTTTTGCTTTTATTTCTGTTGCCTGGGTAGACTGCCCTAGGAGAACACTGCTGAGATTTATGTCAGATAATGTTTTGACTGTTTTCTTCTGAGAGGTTTATAGTGTCGTCTTATATGTTTAAGTCTTTAAGCCATTTTGGGTTTATTTTTATGTATGATGTGAGGGAGTATTCTAACTTCATTGATTTACATGCAGCTGTCCAGTTTTCCTAACACCATTTGCTGAAGAGACTGTCTTTACTCCATTGTATGTTCTTGCCTCCTTTGTCAAAGATTAATTGACTGAAAGTTTGTGGATTTATTTCTGGGCTCTCTGTTCTGTTCCATTAATCCATATGTCTGTTTTTGTACCAATACCATGATGTTTTGATTACTGTAGCTCTGTAGTATTGTCTGACGTCTAGGAGGGTTATTCCTCCAGCTTCATTCTTTCTTTCTTCAGTATTGCTTTGGCAATTCTGCATCTTTTGTGATTCCATATATATTTTAGGATTATTTGTTCTAATTCTGTGAAAAATGTCCTGGGTAATTTTATAGGGATTGCATTAAATCTGTAGATTGCTTTGGGTAGTATGGCCATTTTAACAATATTAATTATTCCAATTCAAGAACATGGGATGTCTTTCCATTTCTTTAAGTCATCTTTAATTTCCTTAGCCAGTGTTTTGTAGTTCTCCACATAAAAGTCTTTCACTTTCTTGGTCAGATTTATTCCTAAGTATTTTATTTTTTTGGATGCAATTTTAAAAGGGATTGTTTCTTTACTTTCCTTTTCTGATATTTCATTGTTAGTATAAAGAAATGCCACTGATTTCTGAATGTTAATCTTGTATCCTGCTACCTTGCCAAATTCTTTTATTAGCTCTAATAGTTTTTGTGTGAAGCCTTTAGGGTTTTCTATATATATAGTATCATGTCATCTGCATGTAATGACAATTTTACCTCTTCTCTTCCAGTTTTGATCCCTGTTATTTCTTTTTCTTGTCTAATTGCTGTGGCTAGGACTTCCAATACTATACTGAATAGAAATGATGAGAGTGGGCATCCTTGTCTTGTTCCAGATTTTAGTGGGAAGGCTTTCAGCTTTTCCCCGTTGAGTACTATGCTGGCTGTAGGTTTGTCATATATAGCTTTTATTATGTTGAGATATGTTCCCTCTATACCCACTTTGGTAAGAGTTTTTATCATAAATGGGTGTTGAATTTTATCAGATGCTTTTTCTGCATCTAATGAGATGATCATTTGATTTTTGTCCTTTTTCTTGTTGATGTGATGTATCACATTGATTTGTGTATGTTGAACCATCCTTGTGTCTCTGGGATGAACCCAACTTGATCATGGTGTATAATCTTTTTTATGTGCTGTTGGACTCTGCTAATATTTTGTTGAGGATTGTTGCATCTATGTTCGACAATG